CCCCAAACCCCCAAAACCCCAAAACCCCAAAACCCCTTAAATTTTATTTATCATTGAAATATCCTTAAATAAAATTATCAAATGTTAGACAATATGCAAAGAATGAGGATGCTTGGCCATGGAAGAATGGGAAGTCAATTTAGACAATCCAAGAAGGAGAAAACTCCCCTTCCTGTCTATGAAGCAATGGATTACCCTGCTGGTTATTCAATTATTGACAAATAAAAAGTATGATATACAGTCTAAAAGCCTAATATTGTCAAATAATATGCGGATTGCAAGAAAGTTTAAAGGCCAAACAGATCTGATTACACATTTACCTTCGTAAGTCTATAAATATATTCTGTAGACGTAGAGATTCTATAAATTCTGAATCAAAAAGCCACCAAGGAATCATCACAGCAAACCCTAAAAATGTAGGCGGGTACAAATATGAAAGAATAAATAATTCTCTTAACAGGACAACTAATAAAGTTGATTATGAGAAAGATCTTGCTATAAGCTCTAATAATTATAACAAGATTAGTAAAAGTTTTGAACATCTGTCAAGGACAAAGAAATCAAGCTATCTATCAAATAATCCTCTAAACATGATTGGCAATGGAAGTACACAAAAGGTACATATCTGAAAAACAGTATAGCCAATGGTTTCACTTGCTAATCCTAGTGAAAAAATTGCCAAAAAGAGTCCTAAAGAGCCTAATGAGTACCTTGACAGTCTTTCTCTCCCAAGAAATGTCAAACCAGTAATATTACTATATAAAAATTAGAGAAATCTCAGCTTAAGTGAAGATCGCAAGAGAAATATCGATGTACCAAATTTGCAATCAGGAAAGACTGAAGACAAGGTATTATTACACCTCAGACTATCTCGATTTTTCGAACCTAGTTTTAATTCTTACTCAATACAGATTGACAATGAATGGGCTGCAATCTTAAAATACAAAGATAATTCTTATAAAAACGCTATTGCTCGTCAGAAGGCTCAAAAGAAAACCTCCCAACAAGATTATAAGTTAATTCTAGACACTCAGCTGGAGGAAATCCAAAAACGTAAAAGAGGTAAGCCACTCTGGCTAATAAATAGATGAGAACTCTCTTGAATTAAAGAAGCAAGACAAATCATTCCTAGAGCAAGAAAAAGTAAGTGTGCCAGTCTAACCTGCTAGAGGAGAAAGAAATCTTTACAAGAAGAAGCAGACAGAAAGATAAAAATTTTACTAGAGTACAAACAAACTGCACAAGATTCAGTCGCCAAGTGGTTGTAAAGTAAGGCACTCATGGGAGACATTTAGATGAAAAAGAAACAAATTGAGAAAAATTTAGAGAATTTAGAGAAAAAGATGTATAACCAGACACCAGATTTAGAGCAAGAGAGAAGGCTCAAGCTTGAACAAAAGCTCAAAACTAGTATGGCTCTTAGAAAGTCATTTAGTAATGCAAGTGTGTTATTTTTAGATGATAAAATTGCTCAGCTTAAAATTCAAAAGGAGAAAGAAAAAGAACTAGACAAGTTTTATGCAAGGGAGTCAATGGATATGCAAAATAGGAGAGAACAACAAAGAATTAATTTTCTGAACTCTCTTAAAAAATTCAGTACCGATCAGAACTCTATCGATCCAAGATTTGACACTACTTCAATGAAAGAAAAACAAAAAGATGATTATATCAAAAATGGAATTCAGCAGATCAATATCAAAGAGTTAAAATAAGGAAAGAACAGCTCTCAAAAAGAAACTCGAAAATAGATTACAAAACAAAAAGTAGGTATTTTCAAGGACCCTTAATGTATAATTCTGCATAAACATTAATGCTTATCACAATAGAACACTCGACTCTCAGCTAAAATACAAAGAGCTTCAAAAGCAATATGAGAAAGAAGAAAAGAAAATACAAAGGAAGGAAATAACCTCAAGAATCAATAGTTTCAAAACCCAAGAAATGAAGAAAGCTTCTATTTCTGAAAACAGAAAGAATGAGTAATTATTCTCTGAACGTCTAGATACCACATTGATTTGGCTCTCCAACTTAAACATAAGAAACAAAATGCTACTGACCCGAACACGATGTCAAATGAAGAGAGAAAGATGCATCAGAAGCATCTAGACTCTTACAAAAAGGGAGAGTACAAAGATAGTTCAAGCATTCTTTAGAGTCTCCTTGTGAGCCCCAAATAACAAGAATATCAATATCCTATCGGAGGTGGGGTTTTGGGGTTTTGGGGTTTTGGGG